CAGGGAGGTCCTGGAAATATGGGATCTCCCTTTCTCTAAAGGCATGTATACAGCATGGGAGTCCATGTTCCCAGTTCAAACTGGTCTATCAGGTCAGAAGTTGAGGATGAAGAGTTGAGCTGTTGAACTGGTGCAGCAGCACAAATGTGTTGGTACTGTGATTGACAACAAACTGTGCTTTGGGCCCCAGGTTTATATTGTGTGTAAAAAGGCACATCAGCATATGCACTTTTATTTTAAGCTTCACAGTTTTAATGTTGACGCCACTTTTATGAAGATGTTTTATTGAATCAGCTCTTATATTTCCCTTTATTTGTAGGTATGGGTTACTTTCTGTCAAACAGAACAACTGATTACAGGGTATTGTGAAGGTGTGCAGCAAAATTACTGGCACATCCTTAAATGGTCTTCATGATCTGAAGGAAGCTCGATCAATCTTGGTTGATCCAAGCCATCCCTTTGTGGGGTAAATTTATGTTGCTTCCATCAGGGTGCAGATACAAACTGCCATGATGCAGAACAAACAAGTTAAGAAGATCATTTGTTCCTGTTGCTATCAGTCTTCTTAAGGACACTTGAAGTGATAGTCTGTGTCTGGTATTGTTGCTGTTATGTGTTTGACTATTTATTCTGCTGACTGTGAATCAAATTGCCCCCCAGGGATAATAAACATACCTTAAAGCTTGACAAGAGTTAACAAGCACACACAAATTTCTTAAATTATTCATAAGTACACTTTTATATTAAAGCTCAATCTCTTTTTTGATAAAAATGTTTTTGTTGGTTAAGTAACATGTTTTGATTAAACTGTAGGTTTTAATATTAGACTACATGTTTTAATGTCTGGTTGATGACTGAACAAATCGACAACTGATTAAACCACTTTTTTTTAGTTAAACGACATTTTGTTTATTAAATAACGTGCTTTTTGATTAACTACACAGATGTCAATTATTAAACAAGTTTTTGTTGAATGCACTAGCCTACTTTTAAAAAACTAAACTAGCCAAGCTACACTCCCTTCATTGCGTCATCCAGGGCAGAGGACAGGGTTGGTCCCTTTAACCCAGCGCTACAAGCCGGAGAGCAACCAAAGAAACCGGCCCGATGAGTGGATCCATGTCACTTCATTAGAGGAGGACGTGAGACCCCCGCGGACGCGGTTTCTTTCCGTCACTGGGTTGGAAGTTGCTGTAGACCTTTGAGACGTGTTTCACCTTTAAATCTTATTATTTTATTTTTGGTATCCTGCATGGCCATACCAATATTAGAAATAAAGGGGACCAGGGATTATAACATAAAGGGAGCAAGCGACATGGCACAGAGCGTAGCGCTATAGACGTGCACAGAGAAGGCGCACGCCTGTCGCTTTGTGTTGTATTTTACTCAGTGATGGCTGAGATGGTTTGAACACTTCTCTTAGATCCGAGGGAATAGGCTGGAGGATTTTGCATCCTGTCGCTTTAGAAGAAGATCAGCACCGAAGTCTGGTCAAGATGCAGCGGAGGGAAGTGTCGCATCTCTGGCTGCTGATCACTTTGGCGTCGGTGTCCGTCAGCGGATTTCCCACAAACTTTAAAAAGACTTCAGTCAGAGACAGAAACGCTTCAGCGTCCCGTACTGAGGTAAACTGTTCTCATATCCTCCCCACGTTTTTTGGGGTCCAGGCTATTGTAACGCCATAGGCTTGTTTCAAGTTTGTTTCAAGTTTACAAATTTCAAATCGTAAATTGACATTTGTAGCCTACTTGACGGTTATGGGAAAGATGAGATTTTATTTTGTTGTTGTTTTAAAAATCGATTTCAGTTTGATGTTCATAAAAATTACATTTAACTTAACCATGATCCTCATAAGCTTTTATTAAGTGTATTGGGTGATGTGATGTGTTTTGTGTGTTCACAGTTTTGAAATTTTTAACAAACTGATAGATACCAGTTTAATTTTTAAGCCCTCTTAACTAAATTAAAACCGCAAGGAGGGAAGCTTCCTGTCTTCTAGTCTTAATATTAAACTGTGCCATGTAATGAATTATTGAAACTCGATCTCATGATTGCCTTCACAACATTATCTCTGCCGTGTGTGCGTGTGTGTGTTTTGCATACTTACATCTGTAAGGTATCAAACATTATGCTTCTCATCAGGAGTTTGGCTCAAGTCTTTTTGGATGGCATTATTTTGTAGTCAGGGTTTTTACTGTAGGTAAGTTCTCAGAGCTCAGTGGTCAGTAAGGTTGCAGCAGTATATTGGTTACATCGTATACCATGGTATGAAAATTGACGGTTACCATACACACTTGCTTATTACCGGTACTGAAGGAAAAAGCGCAATGTTTGTGCACCTTTCTTCCCCGACTGCCTGTCAGACTCCGCAACGGGAGACACATGCACGCATGCAGCAGACAAATGGCAGAAAAAGAGGCTGAAAATGTACTTTAAGCAAAGTTTTGTCTTAATACTTAATTTTATTTCATACTTAGTTACAATGTAATGTATATATATTTCCATATTTATAAGTATTCCATCTTTATTTTCCTAATGCACATTCCTTCTTCTTGTTTATACATTCCTTTTCTTTCCTTTTTTTGTTCTCTCAGGCTTATCTTGTTTACTTGTCTACTCACTGCCTTACAGAAGAACATTGCACATACACACTGAGAGCCACTGTACCAGAGTCAAATTCCTCATGTGTTCAACATACCTGGTCAATAAAACTGGTTTTGATTAACGTTATTAATGCAAGACTATTTGTAACAGACTTTTACTTGCAACAGAATAAGCTACTTTTACTTAAGTAAAGGATTCTTTAGGGTCAATCTAGTGCTACAGTCCAGCTCAGCCAACTGGCACAGTCACTTAAAATAAAAATGAAAAGACTCCTTGATTCATTCATATGAGGGTTGTTGTATCTGATAATAATAGTAATTGTGTAATACTGTAATGCCATGAAACCGTGATATTTTCTGAGATGGTTATCATATCATGAAAATCTAGTAGCTATCCTGAACATTTGTAGATGTAACCATGTCAGCCAATGATATACTGAGGTAAACAGAAGATATCCCTCTCCTTGTTTTTGCTTCTTCTCCTGAACCAAGTCAATTATGTGCAAATCTTTCTTTAGTCTTTAGTTTTTACTCATTTATACACTATAGGGAAGTGTCCTATCCATGTCCTCCATATCAGATTTCTTTGTGGTACCTGGTTGAAAATGAGAAGTTTGTTGTAATATTTGTGTATTTTCTTCTGTAGTGATTTTAGCTTATACTGTATACAGTGTGTAAAATCTTTGTTTCATTAGGCAGGGCAAAGCAAGGCAGCTTTATTTATACAGCACATGTCATACAAAGAAGTAACTGAAAATCCTTTACATAGGCAAAAAGAAACATTAAGAGCATTAAATATAATATGTTAGAACATAGCTTGACCACTTTTAGAAGGACTGCGCGAGAGGCCACAGCAGTGTAAACAGGATTGTTTGATTTGTTAGTCTTCACGCTTTGCCCATTATTTTGCTTGAAAGAAACCTTTTATTTGTTGCATCAAGAGGAAGCTAAAACAATAAGAACAGAATTGTGTTTGAACTGTTTTCGTTGTTCTCATTCATTTAAGCTCCACAAAATGCACAATCCCACAGAGAGTACATGTTTCAGCTGCAGCTGTAATTTATACATAGCCATTGAATAATCAACAACACCACAATATTAACCCTCTAATATGCAACATATTCTACACCTTTTAAGTCACAAGACGGGTCAAAAATGACCTGCATTCATTTTCAATAGTATTTTATCCATAGCAGAAAGTTTCACTGTAGGATCTTTAAAGCTAATTTATGTCATTACCTAATACTTTAAAAAACAATCAGTTGCTTAGTTTTTTAAAGTATTATTTTATTTTTGCATGATTCTAAATGGATGTGGCAGGAACAAAACACAATACAATAGTACTGTGTTTTCAAAAGGATGCCAAGTCATATTCTCAAGCAAGTGTATTCTGTATTTCATCGGTGTTTTAGAGACACTCTCTCTCTCACATTACCAGATAAAGTCCCATAGGTCACCATCTAGTTTGCTAAAACACAACAGATCAACTAAAACACAACAGATCAACAACTACCTAGCTGCATCTCCACAGCTGTTTAGCTATGAAACAATAGGTGAAGCTGTCAGGAAGGACACTATGACCTAGTGGTGGAAAGTAACTAAGTGCAATTACTCAAGTATTGTACTTAAATACAATTTTGAGTTATCAGTACTTTACTTGGGTGTTTCCACTTTCTGCTGCTTCATCCTTAGACCACTACATTTCATAGGTCTATGTTGTACTTTTTACTGCATTACCATTTGATCACTTTTCAAAATCAGATGAATAAAGCAAAACACAGTATAATCAGACATTATTGATTCCTGTTGGGAAATTTACAACCTACCCAGCAGTATGTAAAGCACTCATTAAATCATAACAAAGGTCATCTCAAGACACTTTACAAAATAAATACTATCATTATTATTATTATAGAGGAAAACCCAACAAACCCCCCTTGAGCAATACTTGGCGACAATGGGGAGGAAAAACTCCATTTAATGGAAGAAACCTCCGACAGACCCCAGTTCTTGGTGGGCAGCCTTCTGCCTCGACCGGTTGGGGTAAGTGGATAGAGGAGAGAGAAAAGAAAAGCAACAAGACACAACAACAAACAATCAAACACTGGGGAGGTTGATGTGGCCGGTGACTGCTCATCAGAAACGTAGAGCTCCAGAGCCAGGGCAACCTGCAGAAAAGTACAGGGAGAGAGAGGAGACACTATGGGAGAGAGGAGACACAAAGTTAATGACATTTAACTCTGGCATATACTGTAGATACATGGCGAGGAGAGGAGAGGAGAGGAGAGGCGATGAGAGGAGAGAGAGGAGAGGAGAGGAGAGGAGAGACGGCCATGGGACAACCCTAAGCCTGGGCCTAAAATTGAGGGATGGTACACTAAACCAAACTTATTCTTGAACACGTGTCCAATAATTCCATAGACACCAGTACATGGGCTCAAGTGAAGGCTGTCCTGCTGACTACAAACCACTGGTACAGTTAAATATATTCAGTGGCAACAGGACAGCCCAGGCCCCCCTTGCAGTTACCAAGATGCAAGAGGGGAACAGTCTTATCCCTGTTCAGCCACATTACGTGTTCTAATGCCATGAAATATCAGAAGACATATTGCAACATGCTAAGTACCTTTCTACCCTCCCTCACTGTCCTACAAGGATTATATTGAAGGCAACAATATTATATTAAGACAGTTCTGACCGGCCAAGGTGTCAGCAGCAGATTCTTTAATTCCTACAAAGTGTGGCCCCCATGGATGGGACTTGTTTGCCCAGCACATCTCACAGATGCTCAGTTGGATTGAGTGAACACCTTGAACTTGTTGTTGTGCTCCTCAAACCATCCCTGCGCCGACTATTGCAGTTCCTATAAGATTTATCAAAAAAAGAAAGTTTTAAGCGTGATCTCAAAGGTAGAGAGTGTCTGCCTCTTGAACCAAGACTGGAAGCTGGTTCCACAATAGAGGAGCTCAATAGCTAAAGGCTCTGCCTCCCATTCTACTTCTGTGGGCTCCAAAAACCACAAGCAGACCTGCGCTGTGAGTAGGGTTGCAAAGGTATGAGATTTTCACAGTATAACTAGCTCTGAAAATATCATGGTTTCACAGTATTATGGTATTGCACAATCACTGTTATTATCAGCTACAACAACCCTCAGAAGAACGAAAAAGTTTAGTTTTTTCATTTATTTTTATTTCCAAGTGACTGTGCCAGTTGACTGAGCTGGATTGCAGCATTAGATTAACCCTAAAGAATAAAGATAATTTAAAAAAGTATATAACTGTAAAATATTATATAATTAAAGAATGTTAGTTTGCATGAGCACCAGTAGTAGACAAAGTATTCACATCCTTTACTTAAGTAAAAGTACTAATATCACACTGTAAAAGTAGCCTACTGTGTTACAAAAAGTCCTGCATTAATAATGTTAAGTAGGAATCTTTATTTATTGTGACATGTACAATGAAATTACATTTGGAGCCGAGGGCCCTGGGCTGCTGCGTGCATATGCACCGCCATCAAGGGCAAAGGCGTGGGGGGGGGGAAGCGGGTTCAGCGTCTTGCCCAAGGACACTTTGACATGTGGACTTCAGACACTGAGATTTGAACCTTCAACCTTGAACTCGACTGCTCTACCCACCACACCACTGTCAAAGCAAATATTAACACAAAAATGTACTTAAAGTATTAGGAGGCTACTCAATGCAGAACATTTTATAAAGTATATCATTACATTAACAGCCTGTCCCTCATGCTCTGATGTAAAAGCAGGATTTGACTGTTGTAGCTGGTTGAGGTGGAGCTCTGCTGAACTGTTTTGTATCCAAGTGCAACTACTGATCATTTTCATTAGGGATTAACCTGCTGATTATTTTCTCCATTAATCAACTGACTGCTTTGTAACATTTCTGACAACGGTGAGACAGGCCGAAGGTTTTTGTCTTTGAGATATCCAACGTAAGCCTGCACTGCTGGTTTAAATTCCTCTCTCTCTCTCTCTCTCTCTCTCTCTCTCTCTCTCTCTC